CACCAAGATTGGAGTTTATACTTTATCGCTAAGTAGTGGGTTTAGTTTAGATTTGAATAAGTGTTGTTACTCGCCAGGAATGGCAAGAAATATTATTTCCTTTCATGCTTTGTACAAACAAGGGTTTACCTTTTCGTTTAATAATGAAGTTGGTTCTATTGATGCTTTCTTTAATAATGTTCTTTATTTTAAAGCATTACCTTGTGATGGTGTGTATGAAGCTGTGTCTGTTGTAGATAACTTAGGAAATAATGTTTTGTGTATTGATTCTACTAATAATAATAACTTGGATAAAGCATCATTATGGCATTGTCGTCTTGGACATATAAGCAAGAAACGCATAGGCCAACTCCAAAAGGATGGAGTCTTGGAGTCGTTTGACCTAAAGTCAGATGATAGTTGCGAATCATGCTTACTTGGAAAAATGACAAAGTCACCCTTCACAGGCTCGTGTGAAAGGGGTGAAGGTTTGTTGGACCTTATACACACGGATGTGTGTGGACCATTCAAACATGCCACAAGGGATGCTAATCGTTATTATTTGACTTTTACTGATGATTACAGTAGATATGGATATGTCTACTTAATCAAGCATAAGTCAGAGACTTTCGAGAAGTTTAAGGAATTTAAACAGGAAGTCGAGAATCAATTGGGCAGGAACATTAAGATGCTTCGATCCGATCGGGTGGTGAGTATCTTAGTTCAGAGTTCCTCGACTATCTAAGGGAATGTGGGATTGTCTCACAATTGACACCTCCCAGGACACCGCAGTTGAATGGTGTGGCTGAGAGGCGTAATCGAACCTTGTTGGACATGGTTCGTTCCATGATGAGTCGAGCTTCGCTACCAATCTCATTCTGGGGGTATGCCTTAGAGACTGCCGCCCATATCCTTAATCTAGTCCCTACAAAGAAAGTTGCCAAAACTCCTCACGAGATGTGGACTGGTAAAGTACCTAAACTAGACCACATCAAGATTTGGGGTTGCGAGGCTTTCGTGAGACGCGAGACTCATGATAAGCTCGAACCCCGAAGCGAGAGGTGTATTTTCATCGGCTACCCACACAATCCTTTGGTTACCTCTTCTACAGACCTAGTGACAATGTGGTCTTTGTAGCAAGAAGAGGAGTCTTTCGAGAAAGAGAGTTTATAAGCCAAGGAGACAGTGGGAGGCAAATTGATCTTGAAGAAATTCAAGAGTCAAGTGGTGAAGGAACTTCAAACTCTAGCCCTCAACTTGAGGAGGAAACTCCTGTTGAGCCAATTGACGAATCTGTACCTCTGAGGCGTTCCACGAGAGTTAGGAGTGCACCTGAGCATTACTATGGATTCCATATTACTGCAGAAGGTGAGACACTTATTAGTGATGGAACACTAGTAAGTCAAGATGACCCTAACAGCTACGAGGAAGCCATGGCAGGCCCCGAGTCTGCTAAATGGAAAGAGGCTATGGATAGCGAGATACAATCCATGTATGACAATCAAGTTTGGAACTTGGTTGAGAATGTACCAGGTCGAAAGACTGTAGGGTGCAAATGGGTCTTCAAGAAGAAGACCGACATGGATGGTAAAGTACACACTTATAAGGCTAGACTGGTTGCAAAGGGCTTCTCTCAAATTCCTGGAGTGGATTATGATGAGACCTTTTCTCCGGTAGCCAAGATTAAGTCTATTCGGGTTCTGTTAGCCATAGCCGCATTTCATGACTATGAAATTTGGCAAATGGATGTCAAAACCGCTTTCCTTAATGGAAAGTTGGCTGAAGATGTTTACATGAGTCAGCCAGAGGGTTTTGTCAGCAACGAGTACCCAATAGAGTGTGTAAGCTTGAGAAATCCATTTATGGATTAAAGCAAGCACCTCGCAGATGGAATCTTTGCTTTGATGAAAAGGTCAAGGAATTTGGCTTTTCTAGGAGTGAAGATGAATCTTGTGTGTATGTCAAGGCTAGTGGGAGTATAGTTAGCTTTTGGTATTGTATGTGGATGACATACTACTCATAGGAAACGACATTCCAACCCTGCAGGAAGTAAAGTCCTGGCTTGGAAAGTGTTTCGCTATGAAGGACCTTGGTGAAGCTGCCTATATTTTAGGGATAAGGATCTTGAGAGATCGGAGTAAAAGACTAATTGGACTTAGTCAAAGTACCTACTTGGATAAGGTGCTGAAGAGATTCAGAATGCAAGACTCCAAGAAAGGAGAGTTGCCCATCCAGAGTAACGCCAAACTGAGTAAGACACAAAGCCCTAGCACTGAGGCTGAGATAGCACAAATGAGTCGAGTACCTTATGCTTCGGCTGTAGGATCGATCATGTATGCTATGACGTGTACTCGACCTGATGTAGCTTTTGCCCTGAGCATGGTTAGCAGGTTTCAGGGGAACCCTGGCAAGGCACACTGGACTGCGGTAAAGAATATTCTCAAGTACCTACGAAGGACTAAGGACTGGGTCCTTACCCTCGGTGGGAGTGATGACTTGAGAGTTGTAGGGTATAGTGATGCTAGCTTCCAGACTGATAGGGATAACTTCCGCTCTCAGTCGGGCTGGGTCTTTACCCTAAATGGAGGAGCAATTTCTTGGAAGAGTTCCAAGCAAGAGACAGTGGCAGATTCTACTTGTGAATCAGAGTATATTGCAGCTAGCGAGGCGGCAAAGGAGGCGTTATGGCTGAGGAACTTCATTGGAGACCTTGGAGTTGTACCAGCTATTAAAGAGCCAATGGAAATTTTCTGTGATAGTGAAAGTGCTGTTGCCTTAGCCAAGGAACCAAGGGATCACGGGAGATCCAGACACATCGACAGAAAATACCATTTCATCAGACATCGGATCGAAGAAGGACTCCTCGTGGCAAAGAGGGTATCATCAGATGAGAATCCGGCAGATCCCCTCACGAAGGGACTGACTCGGGTTAAGCATCTCCAGCATGCTCGGAGCATAGGGCTGAAGGATGATATTAGATTTAGTAGTTAGATAACCTCGAAATTTGTAAAGTGTAATTGACATCTGATGATGAATAAAAGTGTTTTATTTATGAGTAAAGTGTTGCTATCTCTTGTCGATCGTTTACTATATTTCTTTTGCATGTTTTGACTTCCAGAATAATTTTTGTTTGGTATAACATATTATTCAAACCTCCACAGTCGGTCATATGTCGGAAGTAGGTATGAATCAAGACTGTCATGTTTGGTTGTAGAGGTCTTGGACAAGGCTAACAATCATGAGTGCTCATAAGTTCTGAGCATTGGACTCAACCCACGCTCACTGGAATCACTTCATGGAATTCTATCTCGAGTGATCGTGAGACGGTAATATCGTATAAGTCTTCAAACCTAGAGATATGATTTGTTACTTACAAGTTGGTTATGCATTGATTGTACGAAAAACGCATTGGTAACTCGATGTTATAAATCGCGCTCTTGTGTGTAATTCAATGAGTGGTAGAACAAACATATGAGTCGAAGTTTATCTGTTCCTTCTTGGATTAGAAGCTGATATCTGGGCCCCTCGATGATTTTGTTTTGACCTATGTACCGGGCCCGGTCAGAACTAAATTGATGTGTTCAATGAAGTTCTTTGTCAAACAAATCGGAAATCGGGAAACAAACTGTTGGACAATAAGTAAGACATTGTTCCATGTATTTGTCCGACTGATATCTAGAACAGAGGATTATATGATCACTTATCTTAAATGGCGTACCATCATCTTCTCAGTTCCGAGAAACCTTGTAAAGAGCTACGATTGCCGATCGGTTCCTGAAGTCATACTTGCAGTAATAGTTATTAGACTTATCCAAGTGGGAGACTGTTGGATAAGGTGTCTAAGTCCATAACTATTTCTGGTATGTACTTGACCCGACCCGGCATGGTCCATTTGGGTTGCATGGCACCATGCAATTGGATAGACTAAATGAGAGAAATAACACTTGGAGATTATTAATATATTATAAGTTCTAATATATTAATAATATTATTTGATTAGTTTGATCAAGAATTAATTTAGAATTAATTATGTGATCAAAAGATAACTAATTAAATATATGGGTTGATTATGTAAATCATCCATATCTTGTATAGTGGGCTAAGAGGCTCCATGGATTATCAAGTTGGGTTCCACCCATAGGATGCTCCATGGGAGTTACAAACCCATGGGTCATGGAAATGAAGAGTCATGACACATTAGGGTTTAACCCTAGATGTGTCAACACTATATAAGAAACATATTCTCCACCAAAATCGGCTACACTAAGAAACAAGAGGGCTTGGCCGATTTTTGAGAAGTGTGTGTTCTCTCATAAGTTCTTCCAAGAGCATTTGGTGTTGTGTGAAGCATTTGAGGCATCACACTTGGGGTGCTAGGCTCACAAGGTTTCAAGGAACACAAACAACAACAAGGTAAGTTATTCTATCTATACTTTAAGTTAAAATTGTTCCCCATGTATGCTAGATAGGAATATAACCTTGGAATTCAACTTTGCATGATAATTAGACAAACATAGATCCAAGGTTATTAGGGTTGCATGTACACTTAGGAAGTGTTAGAATGCTCAAAACCCATCAGTTTCTAATGCACTTAAATATCTATGGAGGTTGCATGAGTTGGGAGGGGGGGGGGGGTGACGGGTGTAACCCGTGTTTCATCAAACTTATGTCCATTTTTTAACAATATCGGCCCCTCCCCACTAGATCTTTTCCAATTTAAACCCAAATCTTACCTTTTAGCCCCTGCCTCAATAAAATATTCTCAACTTTAACCCAATACTTACCATTCAACCCTTAGCTTCCAACATCTCTTCAAATTAAGTCCCAATAATTTACCAAGTAGTCCCTGCCTTTACAAATATTTAAAAAACCAATCCCAAACTTACAATTTAAACCCCTAACTTCTAAATTATGCCAATTATCACCTCCAAACCAACACCTTGATATATAATTATTGATTTTAGGGCTATAATTCGTTCATTACCTTGTATATTCATTTGTTTAATAAACGGGGTGTTACATTAATCTAGTATAGAATCTAGAAGATGTGTCTCATGGAATGTCTCCGCACCCAAATCAAAAGTCACTATTTTTTGTGCCTTCATCTTCTCATCAATATAACAAAGCCAATGAAGATGACCATTATAGCAATCAACACAAACTTCATGTTGAGGATGAATCCGTGACACGTAGGATGGAAACCTTTGAGTGATTAACTTCCAGGAACCACTTTTCATGTTATAAACCTCAACTTGCCGCCACTCTTTAATGACATGATGTTGGTGGCTACTGGGTGGTTGGTGAATGCCATTAAGCATAACAACTCTGTAATCCTTTGTTTCAGGTTCATATCCAAACCAGAAAATGATTTCCATAGAGTCATTATAATTATTGGAGTGCATGGAATGTGAGGGTAGAGTTAACATGGTAGAGAGAGAAGGGTTCCAAATGTTAACGACTAAATAATCATCTGATCTGTGAGAAAAACATACTAAGTCGTCAACTGAACCTATAACAATATTTTGAGATGGAGGATTATTTGGGATTTTGATGAAGTTAATGAGTTTGAGATGGGGAGATCGAGAATTAGGATGTGCTATGAACGGTTCACAGTGAAAATAAAAATAATCCTTCGTGAACACCAAGAGAATTTCAGTGTTGTTATGGATAGAATGATGGAGGTGGGATTTCACAAAGGAGGATTGAGATAAGAGAGCATTCCAGGATTTAGAGGCACACCTCATTTAAGCAAGCTGTTTTGCCAATAACCGGATAATATGTTCAACAAAACATCATCATGTAGGTTCTCCATTGTAGTTGGATGCTATGTTGAAGCAATTTTCTAGTTAGAAAGTCGATGTAATTAAGGATGGATAGTTTTGAAATGTCACACAAACGCAATCATCAAACGCGTATATATAGAATTTCAGAGAAGTAGATTTTCCACGCAAATTCAAACAACCTTAAAATCACAACATTTTAGTCCCACAGGTTTACCAAGAAGTTAGATTGCCTAGAAGAAAAGGTCAAAGTCTATTACGAGAACAAGTAAAAAATATTTGAATGTTGAGTTGCTTGTAATTTGTAGGGGGGATGTATTTCACAATGCATTGAACTCTATATAGTTCAATGGAGTGCCTAATTTTCTATAAACTCTATTCATTTTTATCCCATAATGCATTAAACTCTACAAGTTCAATGAAACATATTAAAAAAATATTTATTTAAAGATTTAAAGATTTTTCTTTTTCCCATTAAAGAGTTCAATGGCTATTGAACTCCAAATCTATTGAATGACAAGGTGACATTTCACAGTGGTGGAGTTGTATCCATTGAATAACAAGTAAGCATGACACCTCATTCAACTTTTCCATTAAACTTCCCATTGTGGATGCTCTAACCGGTAAAAAAGTCACCAAAATTCGAAATGTAATTTCTTTTTTGGGGGTATTACTAAAAGAAGAAAGGGTATAAATCTTTCAAGATTTGAACTTTTCTTTCCAAAAGACGACATTGAATTTTAACTAATATGAAACTAATTAACTTACCAAACATCATATGATATATTAGAAAATCAAACTAACAAGCACAAATAAACCGATTAAAGACCAATTTTAATTTACACTTGTTACATCGGCATGTTTAGACAAGATATGAAATGATGCCCTCCATAATATATATTTTAGTTTGGGCTAGATATTTTTTTTCCATCTCCAATTCTTCTTACTATTAAGTGTGTGAGAGGGAATCAGGTTAGGATTTCATTTTGCTCAAAGTTTGTAGTCTAGTTTTCTTGTTGCAATTCGTTCTTCGTTCATGGTTTGTAAGTTTGGTTTATCAAAGCTATGTTTACAGTTTTGTTGCTTAAGAAGTGAAAGTTACTTCTCTTCTTTGATTGTCTTCCAAGCTTGTAGTGGATCTAATCATTCACATATTGAAGGTGTTAGTCTTGAGTATAATGAGCCATGACCTACATTTGATAGCCAAAAAGGTCAATGCAACAACGAAACCCAATTGATTTTAAGCTTATGGTTCCTATAATTGGAACTATAAAAAACATCATTTATTTCAAAAATATTATATTTACAAAATTGGTTGGACCCATCGCCATCAAATTTTATCGGTCGATTTTGTATTATATTTGTTAGCTAATATTTTTATTGCAAAACATCCGAGTTTATTTAAAATTTGTGATACTTTGATGATTATTTGTTAGTATGTTAGCATTTAGGGTTTAGGCCCAACGCCCTTAAGGTTTTAGTTAGGTGAGAGCCTATATGTATATGAGGTTTAACCCTCTCTATCAATCAAACAACTTATAATACTTGCATAATATCAAAGCCAAACACTTTCAATTCTTTCTTTTGATCAGCCCAACGTTTGAACCCTAGCCAGCAACAACACTGCCAGTGTTGAAGCTTCTAAATACTATCTTCCCCTTTCAACTCTCTTTTTCCTTCTTTTTTCCGCTACCGTTGGGGTTTCTATGCATCAAATACATTTAAACTAAGTAGCAGAAAAATCAAACTATGATATACCAAAGTGTACATGCAACCTATGGATCTTTGATTTCATAGTAATTACCGCCACCCTAAGAAAACATAAATACAAAGAAGAATCACATACCTCTCTTGTAGCCAAAGACATTCGCGCTTGAGCTCTCATGCATGTGCCTTGTTTGCATGTAAGGACCCTAACTAGAATCTCTCTCTAGGTTCACACTCAATGAACTAAAAAAAGCACAATAAAAAATAACTAAGGTGACGTCAAACTCTAAGAGAGTTCGTCCACAAGAAGGGAGAGAGAAAAGGCAAAAATTCAAGCCTGGAATAAGCAAGGAAGAATGAATCCATAAGACTCTATTTATAGCCTTGAATATCTTCCATGGTTTTATCCTCCATCCGATATGGGATGGGATGACCCAAACGAAATTCCCTTTATTCATAGGGGAAATTTCCTCCACCTCCTTCCCAAGGGGGTTCTAGAATATTTCTGATTAATCAACTATTTATTAATTTATATTCAACCATTTAATTAATTAAACTGTTAAGTAATTCACAAACTATTTTCCAGTTCGTTTCTAATTAATTATTCAAGATTAACACCTTAGCCTTGTCCTCTTTCTCTCTCTCTCTCTCATAAGTTATAGATATCATCGGAAACCTTGCTACTTTTGACGCCGTCTTCGTCGGCACCCAATTCATCTAAATATTTCCACCACTACATTAAGCTCTAGCTATCATAGTTGCCTACAAATCTAGTCTTCGTCGCCACTCATTGATGATGTCGTCATCGCATTCAGATCTAGGTGTCGTTGTTGACTCGGGTTCTTAATATCCGTCAGCCTTCTTATCTTCATTTATGTTTTCAATTTTTTTTTTGTTTAGATCTAGTTTTAAATTCTTGATAAAACTAGGGATGGTGGATGTTAGCATGTTAGAAATTAGGATTTTTATTAGGCTAGCTAGGATCCCTTATGTATATGGGGTTTAACCTTCTCTATCGATCAAGAAACTTATAGTATTTATATGGTATTAGAGCCGACTTCTCGCACCCTCCTGGTTCTCCAAGCCATAATGTTTTAAAGATATCTGAATGCTCATAAATCCAATTAATACGGTTAAAATGCCCTAGAATAAATAAATAAATAAATAAATAAAGACGCTTTTATCTTCAATTTCATATATTTGCAAATTCAGATTCCTTTATTTAAACAGGTGCATCGTAGTCATTTCATATCATTTGGCTTACCAACTTTTCTTTCCAATACTGTGTAAAAACATTCTTTAAAAAAATGTTATACTAAAAAAAGGTTATCATATACTTGAAAAAATGTTCCTTCTTACAAACGGTGAAAAGGTTTATAAAGATGTAGAAAACAGTTATAAAAAGGAACATTCACATTCTTCTGACGTATATAATTTTTTTAAGCTTCCTGATGGAGTTGGCTAATAATGAAATAAATGGCTACTAATGTGAACCCATGCTTAAATAATCTAAACTATACAAGAATGAATAAACATATATAATTTACCCCCACCCCTCCCCCCCACCCTCCCCCGGTTTAAGCACAAAGTTTCCAAATGTTTAAACTTTGACAAAAATCCAAACATAGCTTAGTAGGAAATCTCTTTGTAAATATTTCTACAAACCAGTGAGCTGATGTAACATGAAACACAAGTACATGTCCGCTGACAATATGTTCCATAACAAAAAAAATATACTCATTTTTATAGTTTTGGTTTCTTGATGTTGTACCAGATTAGAAGTTAAATACATTTCACTCACTATGTCACCACAAGCGTCACTTTAGAAGGTGTATAAGCTAACTCGAGTTGAAGGATGCGAAGCAGAAACAACATTTGCTAAACCTAGGTGCTCAATTTCAGCTAAGGAATGAAAAATGACATGTTGACACTTAGAAGATCACAACACGAGCTAGATGATTACCAAGATAGACACAGACATAGAACCCGGAGGTGGACAGACGAGTATGAGGAAATTCATGCATAAGAGTACCCGAAATGTATCAAATGATATGGTTAAAAGAAAGCTAATACGGTCGACGAGTCTGAGGAAACCATGCCTAGTCAGCATCAGAGAGACCACCAAGATAGACACAGACACAGAACCCGGAGGTGGACAGACGAGTATGAGGAAATTCATGCATAAGAGTACCCGAAATGTATCAAATGATATGGTTAAAAGAAAGTTAATAAAGTCGACGATTCTGAGGAAACCATGCCTAGTCAGCATCAGACAAAACTCGGAGGTGGACAGACGAGTATGGGGAAATTCATGCATAAGAGTACCCGAAATGTATCAAATAATATGGTTAAAAGAAAGTAGGGGTGAGCATGGTGCGGTTTGGTGCGGTTTTCAAACCAAACCGAACCGCAAACCGCATGGTGCGGTTTTTGCATTCTTAAAACCGTTGGGTGCGGTTTTGCAATGGTTCGATTTTTCGGTTTTTAAATGCGGTTTCGGTTTGTATCGGTTTGGTTTCGGTTTTTAAACCGTGTTAAGAATTTGGTACAGTTTTTTTTTTATGTTTTTTGGTGGGGTTTTTTAAAACTGTAAGAACTGAAAACCATGTGCATATAAGCTTGTATTGTGCTGTTTTTTTTCAATACATTCATTTTCAGCTCAAAACAAAATTACATAATCAAAAATTGTAAGTTGCTTAAAATACAACTTGTGACCACTCTCACAAACTAATTAATAATTGAAGGTTGGTTGATTTTGACTTAATTTGTTACAAGCTTATTACATGTAATCGACTAGTACGTTTGACTAACAATAGAACATTTCTTTTGCACCTCATATAGTCTTATACAAATACAAAATAAACATATAATAAATATATTATCATTTATAAATATTTTAAATAGCATGTATATAATATACATTGATTGATTTATTACTATACACGCTTGCGGTGCGGTTCGGTTTTGGTGGACCAGTTTTTAGGATAGAAACCGCACCGCACCGTTGACCTTCGGTTTTTGCAAAAATTAAATCGGCACCATTGGTTTTTGCATAGGTTTCGGTTTTTTGGTTGTGGTTTATTGCGGTTTTATCGGTTTTTATTTAGTCGGTTCGGTTTTTGCTCACCCCTAAAAGAAAGTTAATACGATCGACGAGTCTGAGGAAACCATGCCTAGTCAGCATCAGAGAGACCAAGCAGTCGACAGAGGATGCATGTATGAATAATCCATGCATACGAGTACTCTAAATGTATCAA